CAATTTGTAAGCAAAAGTACCCAAACAGTAAAATTGACGTTGCCGCGGCTGGGTCTTCCTGAGGGAGCAGCAGCCCCACTGCCTTCTAACTGAGCACCGCAGAAGCTCTCCCTTAGAACACAGGGGAGTCTGCCACCAGCTCACAGGAAGGGTTGCAAGAACACATCTCTGGGCACTTGCTATAGGCCAGGCCAGGAACCTCCCTACTGCTATCAACTTTATCAGGTAGGTACCACTGTCATTACTTTATAGACAAGGAAAATGAGCCTCAGATCAGGTAGATAACAAATCCAAGTAATAAGTATCTAACCCAAGAGAAACTGAGTTCTGACTCCAAGTGCTTATGAAGGAGACTCCACTAATGAAGGTGACCCCTGCCCTCCACCCAACCCCCAGGTCCCTACACACCCTAATAAAGGACCAAGTTCAGGAGTGGGCTCCACTTTCCCCAGGCCCTTGATCCACAGGTCATAACAGAGTAGACAGTCCTTTCTCTTCCCCTCATTTCATTTTTTTTCTTCCTTTAAAAATTAATAGGGATATTAATAGTAATAACAGTAATAGTAATTAATAGTAATCAATAGTAATTAAGGTAAAGAGCCTACTTGAAATTCTTTCTGGTTTGTGTTCTGGATAAAAAGAGTCACCTTTCACACTTGCACATACACAGAATTCTGCCCTTTTGCTGTGTCACTTACTTAAAAGTAAGCACTCTGGACGCACTAGCTCCGCAGGGACTCCCAAATGTGACCTCTCTTCTGTACAGTCTGAAGTCCCCCAAGGTCTTTCTGTCTTTCATTCCTAGGCAACATCTGGGGATTCAGACTTAAAGGTCACTGGTCTACTCAGACAAAATCAAACTTTACAGTTACCCGATTCAGCAAGCAGAAAAACTAACATTTCAGTTAGAAACCACACCAAGCTGAAGTGACTATGTGAAAAAAAGTGGGGAAAAAACTATTACTACTACTACTACTACTACTACTACTACTACTACTACTATTAATATTATCCCCTTTAGAGCCTATTTTATTTTCACCTGGATATCTGAAAGTTCAGTGAATCCAACCACATAGCAAATCTGCCAGTCTATTATTACAAAATCCTAGGACAGAAGACACAATGGATTTATAGTCCACCCTTCAGGGACACGAGGAAAGCCCTTAGGAAGATGCCCAGTATATGGAGCTTCTTGGGGGAGGGAAAGTTGACTCGCCAGAGGGCGCTATCCTCACTGAAAGTAACCAGAGTGTTCCTCAGAGTGCTTTGCAGTCTCACCAGCCTAAAATAAATATTTTTCTTGAAAGCCTTTATAATGAACAACAAAATTCTCTGAAAATATACATGCCATGGTTAACTAAAACATACAATAAAGCTATTCTTTCCACAAAGAGTGATGATAATAAGAATAAACACCTCATTTAGCCACATGTGGTGACGCAAGCTTGCCATCCCAGCTACTTGGGAAGCTGAGGCAGGAGGATCACAAGTTTGAGGATAACCTAGGCAACTTAGTGAGACCCTGCCTAAAAATAAAAACTGGAAAGAAGTGGGCTGTGGCCCAGTGGTAAAGATGCACCCTTGGGTTCCATCCCCAGTACCACAAAACAAACACAAAATGTACTTATTTTAGCTTTTTATGTGTCACATACAATTCTAAGCATTTTACAGATATAAACTCATAATTTCCTTACATATTAATAATCCTCACTCTACATATGGGAAGACTGAGGTACGACTCTGTGACCTCAAAGGGTCATAGGCTGGTGACCAGCAGAGCAAAGACACATTTTTGGACAGTCTGACTCTTATCTCCATATCCCCAACCTACGGAAAAATGAGGGGTCTAGCAGAGGTGGCGGCCACACCTGTGATCCCAGCAACTCAGGAGGCTGAGACAGGAGGACTCCAAGTTCAAGACCTGCCTCAGTACCTTAGTAAGGCCCTAAGCAACTAAGTGGGATCCTGTCTCAGGAAAAGCATTAAAAAGGGGCTGGGATGTGGCTCAGTGGCAAATTGCCCCTGTGTTAAATTCTTACTACTCCCCTCCCCAAAAATGAGAGGCTTCAATAAAAAGAGATTTATTTATAATACATATGTTGCAAATTATATCACAGCTCTAGAAATAATAAAGTTAGCTATAAAAAAGGTACTAATTCTGTCACCTGAGAGCAATTCTATTAACTTTACTTTGACATCATTTTCATATATATGTCATTATGGAGACATTAAAAGGGACATATCACTTAAGTTCACTTACATTCCATTGAAAAGTATCAAAGTTCTAAATTAAAGAATAAGGAGGAGGAAAAGGATCTGATTTTTTTTCCGATGCTGGGGCTTGAGCCCAGAGTGCTCTACCTTGGAGCTACAACCAAGTCTGTTCATTTTTCACTTTTTAAATTTTGAAATAGGGTCTCACTAAGCTGTCCAGGATGGATTCGCACTTGGGATCCTCCTGCCTCAGCCTCTTGAGCAGCAGGGATTATAGGCATGTGCTATCACACCTGGCCTGATCTTGTCATTTTTAAAGAATGATAATAGTGAGTATGAATCACAGGCAGAGCTTTTAACTTGGAACGCAGTGTCCTGACTAAATCATTTGCTATTGGGATGACATTGTGACTCTAACTCTTCTCCTGGTCTTTGGAACCTGCTTGATATTCCTGGTTATGTTTCCCTCGTTGGAACACATCTGTGACTCTCCACAGACTAACTCTATAAATGGGCAATGTTATACTCCAATGTCGTTGGGAAAACCCAAGACTGCATGTTGTAAGAAACTTATTGCCCTAATTTCTTAGAAATCTGTAAAGTAAGGTATTTCACTCAGCCACAGGTAAATATGTTTCAGAATGTTCAGATACAACTTCTTTAGGGACACTTCACTAGTTTGCCTATGGGTCTTTTGTTGGTGGTGTTTTTTATGTGTTTTGCAGTATAGGGATTGAGCCCAGAGACACTCTACCACTGAGCTACATCCCTAGACTTTTTCATTTTTATTTTAAGATGGTCTCTGGTAAGTTGCCCAGGCTGGCCTCAAATTTGTGATCCTCCTGCCTCAGCCTCCCAAGTCTCTGGAACTGACCATAAGCATATGCAACTACATCCAGTTTATCATACAGTTTTTAAGATTAAGGTGAGTGCATAGAGCAGAGTATGACCAAGCATAATGATTACTGGTAACCTAAGTGTGCATTAGATCAGAGCTAGTCAAGGACATTAATTGCAGCATATCCATATGTTGGACTATGAGGCAATTTTTAACAAGAAGGAGGCAGCCCTAAATGTATGAGTCTAGAAGTGGAAAGACAAGACACAGTGCAGAACATGAGACACCAGCTCAATGTGAACACGTAAACAGCACCGTGTGAACACACACAGAAACAGCGCATGGTGAGGAAGTGGTGGGCAGAGGTGACAGGGACTGCAGGGAGACCTACTTTTTGAACACTTCTTTGAAGTGTTGGAATGTCTTTTATCATGCCCATGAGATATTTTTTTCAATTATAAGAGATTATAAAGTAAGACCTAGGACAGGGAATGCACTGCAGTGCTAGAGCACACACAAGCCCAGTTCAAACCCCAGCACTAGAGAAAGATGTCAAAACTTTAATAATCAATTTTTAGAATATTTAATGAAAGCTGAAGACTGATGGAATTAGGAAACTCATTTACTTGGGGTGTGATTGATAGATAGATAGATAGATATTTTACAGGGGATTGAATCCAGGGGCGCTTTACCACAAAGCTACACCCTTGGCTGTTTTAGTTTTTATTCTGAGACAGGGTCCCGCTAAATTGCTGAGACTAGCTTTGAATGGGTGACCCTCCTGCTTCAGCCCCCGCCCCAGTCGCTGGGATTACAGGTGTGGCTACTGCTCACAGCACGGGGGGTGTATTTGTGACACTGGCATATGCGCCTACATGAGCACATACATATTTGGGACAAATAAGTCATGGGAAGCTTATCTCCATATCCCCAACCTCAGAAAAATGAGAGGTCTAGCAGAGGTGGCTCTTCCCCTGCTCACAGAACTGGGCCACTTTCCTTGATCTGCCCTTTACATAAGGCACATGGAGAGGGGAGTCCAAGGCCTCTGCTCTTGGACACAAGCACACCTGCACACTTTAGCACAAAGGTGCAGACTTCCTGGACGAGAGTGCGTCCATTTGAGTTCACATGCACTGGCTGAGAAAAAGGGGTCTGGGAATAACGCTGCCGTTTTCATCCAATTCATTCCTGAAAATCCAGCAGGAGGTACTCTTCACCCCTACATTAACTACTCCAGGGATAAAGCAGTATCTGAGTATTTAATCTTAAATGGAAATGTCTAAGAACATTTTTTACAAAACCAATCTAAGGGCCCTTTTTTATTGTCAAGCCCCGGGAGGAAGGGAGGGAAAATTGACCCAAAACCTTGGCTACTTCTGCCCGCCAGAGCACTCCTCAGACCTAGTGTCCAGTGCACAGGATCTAAAGAGCAGAGACCATTCCCTTCTAGAGGCTAAAGGTCACACACCCAAACACTGTGGTTGACGTGACAGGTGAGCCTCCCTGTGAGGCACATGAGGTGATGGGTAACTGCACCAGTAGGGAGCAGGGTTCCACCCTCAGCTCTGTAGTCCGAAGGCTGTATGACAGGGGGTCCTCTTGTCCACACAGGGGCATTCTGTTACCTCTTGGAGGCTATGCTGAGACCTGACCAGGTAAGGCCTGGGAGGGCCCACCTGCTACCAGACACAGCATGCAGTGTCCCTGATCCCAGTTCACAGGAAGGGACACTGCCTTAGTCTAAATAGAAACAGGACCCAACGGGGACACTCTAGTGGCACTCTAGTGCAAACTTAAGGCAGAGTCACAACCTATTTGGCCAAGAGGCCAAACAAAGGAGGGACGGGCAGCAGGAAAGGGCAGCAAGGAGGGAAGAGAGAGACAAGGCACAAAGAGGCCTGGAGCCAGCAGAGGCCCCTCGGCAGGAGTCGGAGCTGGGGCTTACCCAGGTTTGGCTGGGATGCAGCCATGGAACTCTGAGGCACTGGTGTGGAAGTGACGGCAGGGCGGAGGCTCATATGATTCAGGGGCTGACTCATCGCCTTCCTGGGGTCTTGCCAGGTGGTGATTTTTTCTGTGTGACTAAAAGAAGGAAAACAATTAGCTACTTTTAAATTGTCAGCATCATCAGCATCAGTAATAGCAAAACAATTAGGCGGTGCTGGTCCTTCCCTCGGAGCTGTCTGCGAGTATCTACCAGTTGTGGTGGGTTTCAACCAAGAACACACTATCCTCTGAGCCTCTGTCCCAGGAGGCCACAGTGGGGCCTGCAGATGCTTAACACAAGCTCTATTGGGCCCAGGAGCCCTCATCTACCCATGGTCCATGACACTCGACACCATGGCGAGCTCATCTCCAGGAGCGGGACCCATGCTCTCCTTCCCCAGCCCCCTGAGCCCCCAAACTCTCCCAGCTCATGGACCTGACATGAGGGGCTTCCTCACACAGCACCCCTGAGCTCACCAAGACAAAGCAGCCTGGCTTCAGCCAATCGCCAGGTGACACTATGAGGCCCAGGACAGAGCAACAGGAAATGAATGCAGGGAGGCGGGCGAGTGGAGAGTTGGGTTTGAAGCATGCTAGTTTCTTTCTTTTCTTTTTTGGTTTTTTTTTTTTCATCCATATTACTAGGGCTTGAACTGAGGGGTACTTTGCCACTGACCTACATTCCCAGTCTTTTCTATTTTTTATTTTGAGAGGGTCTCATTAAGTGCTGAGGGTCTTGCTACGTTGCGAACTTGTGATCTTCTTAACTCAGCCTCTCAGTCAGTGGGATTCCAGGTAGGCACCACCACACCCAGCATCCTATATATATACTTAAAAGAAGAACAGAATCATCTACTGCCCTGACTTTGCTTTATAAATGGTATCAGAGGTTTTTCTGTATCTATCACAGACAACACACTTGGATAGAAAAAACTGAGTATTAGCCCTTTGTTCTGACCTCACAACTAGTTTTGCCTCTTCCCTGTCAAACCCCACACACCTAGGACAGGTCCTCAGATGTGGAGGGAACAAAATTGCTCTTTCTGTTAAACACAACTTAATTGTGAATAATGATGGCCTCTCTCAACTCTTTAGTGCAGGAAACCACTGTTACCAACACTTGGCTCCATCTGAGATCTAGAAACTTCCTTGAGCTGGAGTCAGTTCATCTTCATTATTTTTTATTTTATTTTGTTCTGTTTCCTCACAATTAAATGCCTCCACTGCTGATATTCCTTATCCAAGACAGAAACTATTCCCATAGGAAGCTCATTCACTGCCCTGAGTGAGAACCTGGATGTTTTCCAAACATCTTTAAGGGCACCTATATGGTGGTCACACCTGTAATCTTGCTACCCAGGAGGCCAAGGCCAGAGGACGGCAAGTCCAAGGCCATCCTGGGCAAGTAAGTGAGACCCTGTCTCAAAACAAACAATAGAAAGGGCTGAGGATGTGGCTCAGTGGTGTTGCTCTTGAAGAGGCCCTGAGCTCAACTTCCAGCATCACACACAAAAAAGTATAAAAGGACTCGGGGTGTGTCTCAGTATCTCAAGGTAGGCCACTTGTTTGCACATACAAGACCCCTCCCTCTATCCCCAGCACCTTCAGCAAAGCAAGTGGAGTGAAATGTAACTACCAAATGTCAATACTGTAGGTGCCATAGTCAATCTTAAAATACATAAATAAATGAATAAAAGAACCAATACTATCTTGTTAAGAAAAAAATAGGGAAAGATTGATTGAGGTTCATTTCCCTAAGCATAAAAAATAACAAAAGAAATGGTTGAGCCCTCACCCACCCATGGGGTGCCAGGCACAGTGGGGAGCACCTGTAGTCCCAGTGACACCAAGGCTGACAAGTTCAAGGCTGGCCTCAGCAACTCAGTAAGGCTCTAAGCAACTTAGTGGGACTTTGTCTCAAAATTAAAATTAAAAAAAAATTTTAAAGAGCTAGGGATGTGGCTCAGTGGTAAAACACCCCTGGGTTCAACAGAAAGAGAGAGAGAGAGAGAGAGAGAGAGAGAGAGAGAGAGAGAAGAAAGAAAGAGAGAGAGAGGGAGGGAGGAAGGGAAGAAGAGAGGGAGGAAGAGAGGAAGGAAGAGAGGAAGAAAGAGAGGAAGAGAGAAAGAGAGAGAGAGAAAGAGAGAAAGAAAGAGAGAGAGAAAGAAAGAAAGAAGGAAGGAAGGAAGGAAGGAAGGAAGGAAGGAAGGAAGGAAGGAA